ATATTATCTCATCTCAGCAAACTGACACCATGTGTCCCACCTGCTTGTGAAGGACGCACCTTAGGTAGTGAAGTTTCTGCTGAGATGAATAACCTGTGTCTAACTTTGAGAAAAACCCCACACAAACCTAACCTGAGGAACACGCTTTAGAATGACCATTGCCTGGGGCTGGGGGTTTAGCTCAGCGGCATAAGCGCCTGCCTTGCAAGCAGGCAGTCGTGAGTTCGATCCCTGATACCGATAAAAAGGAAAAAGACAAAAAAAAAAAAAAAAATAGAATGACCATTGCCACAGCTTGTATTGAAATGTCCCCAGAGGCCACATGTTAGAAGACCAGGCTGTTGGTTTCTGTGAGGAGACAGGGCCTGAAAACGAGGTGTGGAGGATGAAAAGAAAACCAGAGAAAGACAAAGTTACCGGGTCAGGAGGCAGAGGACAGACAATAGTCTCTAGGACTGAAGCCCCGTTACAATATCCTCTGACTTTTTATTAGAAGTTTGTCTTTTACAAAGAACAGAAGCAAATGTCAGAATGGTAAAGTTCAGATAAGCAGTAACTTAACCATCTTTGGCTGTGTCTGGCCTCCGTGTTTACTGTTCTTTTGGACACAGCAAGGCATCCTGTGCAGCATTCCACTGAGGCTCAAGGTTCTGCATTTATTGCCTGCACCACAGTACATTTGTAAGGTTTCTTCCAGAACAAACAATCATATGGCCTATCATAGCACAAAGTCCCTGGGATGACCAAAGTTTACACTACTTTAAGTTAATCTGTTACCCACAATAGGTTGCAAGCCTACAGTTATTAGGACGTGGTGGGCCCTTTAAGAGGCGGGGCCTCATTGGTGGACATTAGGTGGCCGGTGGCATGCCTTGGTGGTTCATTATCAATTCTGCTTTTCAACAGTGGCACCAGAAGTCTCGATTGATAGACATTCAGTGTCCTTGAGATAATTACTTCTGCTTGGGATAGTCTCAGTCATTTGAAGAGGTATAGGGCAGTGATTGGAGACTGCTGGACATAGTTGAATGCCCTGTTAATAATCTTTTATGTTGGTATTGTCAGTTTTGAAGGGGGTCAGTGATGCAAACTCAGAGCTAACCAATCTTGCTTTGCCAACTTTCAGGCAGATGCTCTCTAGGTGACTGACATACCTATATGTAGACTGAGACTGAGATAGATTTGACCCAGAGATGAAAGGTAATAAAGGATTCAAAATGAAGGTCAGTCCAGGAGTGGTGGTGCATGCCTGTAATGCTGGGACTCTGGGAGACTGAGGTAGGAGGATTGAAAGTTTAAGCCCCGGGGCTGGGAATTTAGCTCAGTGGCATAATGCCTGTCTTGCAAGCAGGCAGTCGTGAGTTTGATCCCTGGTACCGATAAAAAGGAAAAAAGACAAAAAAAGAAAAAAAGAAAGTTTAAGCCCCATTTGAATAATGAAATAAGACTGTCTCAAAGTAACAATAAAAAAGGCTGGGAATGTAGGCAAGTATGGGGCTGGGGGATGTTTGTTCTACCTTTAGTTACTGCTGTGGTTTAGATGTAAAATGTCCCCCCAAAGTCTCATGTGTTTTAGAGATGGGCCCTGGTCAGAAAAGGTGGGTCCCTGGGGTATGAGTGACCTAGAAGGGTGAATTCTTGTTCCCCTCCTCCTTTCCCTTTGCTTCCTGGCCTCCACTGAAGCAAGCAGTTGTCTTCTGCCAGGCCCTTCCACCATGCTGTTTGTGTCCTGGGACTGTCTGAGTGTGTAGGGACTGAATCCTCTGAAAATTCTCAATCTAAATAAACCTGTCCTTTAAGTTGCAGCTGTGACCTCTTTGGACCCAGCAATGGGAAAGTGACTAACAGTTACCTACTGGCATCTGTAGGCTCAAATTACTTTTATTTTTATCAAAAACTGCTTTTAAGGCCCTGAGTGCCTCAAAAGAAAACACAAATTGTGCTCTTAATGAGTAACAGGTTCAGGGTCCAGGAGTGTGTCTGTCCCTGGTGCTCGAGGTGGTCTGGGTTAGACTTCGTGTAAAGCCATGGTTCTGGCAGCCTTCTGTGACCATTATCAAGCACTAATGTGTGGGAGGGAGGTTTCCTTCATGACCTCCCAGCTCTCTGTTAGAATTGAAAGGTGATTCTATTCTGACGGGGATGACTTACCAATGAGTATGCATATACCCATCATTCCGCTCAAGAACTAAACTTGCAGCTGGGGATTTAGCTCAGCAGTGTAAGCACCTGCCTTGCAAGTGCGCAGTCCTGAGTTTGAGTGAGTACCAAAAAAACCACTAACCTTTGCCTCTTCAGTGAAATATTCCTTCGGAGTACACTCCAGGAGACTGAGGACTGCAAGCTTAAGTCCAACCTGGGCAACTAGAGAGACCCTGTCTCAAAATTAAAAATGGAACTTAAAAAGGGCGAAAGGTATGAATCAGTAGAAAGGCCCTGGGTTCAGTCCTCAGTGCACCCCCCATATCTGTCTATCATGTCTATCCATCTGTTTATCTGTCATCTATCTTCAGTATTCTTTTCTAGCTGTCTTTACTTTTAGAGGGAGCCACGTTGGTAATTTGGTATTTATTACTTACCTGTAAACGCATGCTTTATTACACACACCTCGGTGATTTTGTTCACTCTCATGACTGCACCGACTACTAATGAACACTAGGACTCCCTAATCTGTTGAGTCTCACTATTTTTCGAGGGCTCAGGCCCTTATATCCAGGTCCATCACTTCACATCCAGTATGTTACAAACTAAATATTCATGTTTGAGTTGTTTCTTCTTTGTATTACCCATAGCTGAGTAAAACGCAGAACAAGGAGACATGGGTGACTTTTTTCTTACTCTCTTAGCTTGTGGTGGTCAAGATTGTCAACACTGAAGCAGTGCCCTCCGCTCAGAACTCTCCCATAACTTCTTACCTGACTCAGATTAAAAGCCAGAGTGCTTTGAATGACCAGGACGTGTTATGAAATTGTTATCAATACTTTATTGTTCCCTCAGCCCCCAAATCAGGGTATTTTCCCATTCTGTGTTGCAAAACCAAATGCCTGTTTCAATGCTCAGGTTTCTTCAAAGCCAACAGTGCAGAGGTAGGAGCCTCACCCACACATCAACTTCTCAGCTCACTTAGGGAGAGAAGTTACAGAGTGGCAGAAACGAGGACAGGGGATAGGCAAACAAGAAGAGGGGGGGATCCAGGCCCTTTCCTCAAAAGGCAGGAAGTTCTCAATGTGACTGCTCCTTGGTGCTCGTGGTGTTTCATTTAGCATGAAAATCAGACTGTAATGAAGTTAGAGATACTCTGGAAGGCACCCTAGCAGCCATCAAATCCAACTGATTTGGGCTAGCCAATCTGAAGAGGAACTTTCGTCCTTCTGAGATCTTGTCCTCAAAGATTAATAAAATTGGAAGTGGGTAGAAATCCAGCAAGTTCAAGTAGCCAGTACCCTGGGTAACAAAATAATACAGTATTGCTGGGCATGGTGATGCATGCCTATAATCCCAGCATTGGGAGGCTGAGGCAGGAGGACTGATAGAAGTTTGAGGCCACTGTGGGCTACATAGTGAGTTCAAGGCCAGCTGTACTACATAGTAAGACCCTGCCTCAAAAACAAAAGAAATACAAAACCCAACAAACCAAAATAACATTGTTATTTAAGTCAGATTTATGGTAGCCAATTTTGGAATTGTCTTCTAGAAACAGCACAATTATATGAAAGCATTAGTCACAAAATGTTTCTGAGGAAAGGACAGATTCACTGTAGGAAATGTAGCTATTTCTTACTGTGTTATGGCCTAAAACATCCATTTTGCTTATTGTTTAGCAAAATGGTATCACATGTGTCAAGACAAAATTACAATGCATTTAAATATTTTCCAGCCAAGTATGGTGGCACACACCTGTAATCCCAGCACTTGGAAGGCTGAAGCAGCAGAACTGCTGCGAGTTCAAGGTTAGCCTGGGTGACACAGTTGGTTCAAGGCCAGCCTGAACTTCATAAGAAGACCTTGTCTCAAAAAAACAAAATAAAATGCCAGTAACCCCAGAGGATTATCGGGAGTTCCAGACCAGCCTCGGCTACAAAGTGAGCTCAAGGCCAGCCTGAACTGCATAGCAGACCCTATCTCAAAAAGACAAAAACAAAAAACAAGAAAGATTTTCATTGGCTTTTTGTACAGAGCAATAATGAAACAAACATCTGACAACTGGCAGATTCCCAGAAGAAGCTGCAAGATCAGAGTTGTAAAGTAAAAGTATACTCCATGTAAGTACTGAGGTGGCCACAGGGTGAACGGGGAGCACAGCTTAGCAGGAGGTTTGGTGTTGAAGGTTTTAATTTTTTTTTTTTTTTTTGGTACCAGAGATCGAACGCACGACCATGGGCTTGTAAGGTAGGTGCTTATGCTGCTGAGCTAAATCCCCAGGCCCCAAAAGTGGGTCTCGCTATGCAGTTCAGGCTGGCCTTGAGCTCACTTTGTAGCCCAGGCTAGTCTGGAACTGGCAAGGATCCTCCCACCTCAGCCTCCTGAGTGCTGGGATTACAGGCATGAGCCACCATGCCTGCCCACCCCCCAAGGTTTTAATTAAAAGTATCCGGGTTTGAGACAGGGTTGAGGGATTGACTTGATTTTACTCTTGCCAGTGAGTGGCTTGACTGCCTCTCCACTGATGTAGTTTTTGACCTTATGTGGCCCTTGGAGGAACTGTCATGGTGCCCAAAGGCCACAGGGGAAGGGACACAAAACTGCATAGCTCAGGACGGGGTAATCAGGGCTGGGCTCAGCCAAGGCTTGCTGAGGACCACAGGATCCACGCCCAGAAACTTAATGTGTATAAATGGGTTAGCTGCTTTTTCTTTTTAGACCAGGTTATCCTGGTCCTGGGTTAAACTGTAACTCAGAAGTAGATCCAGCCTGAAAAGTGGGCTCCAAGGTGGCTTCCCCTTTTTCTTCGCCAGCCATCTCTTTGCTCCCCCACTATATCAGTTTTACAGACAAAAAAGTGCTAAAGAAAGTTACTTTCTTTATAAGGCAGACTGAAACAACAGTAGAATAGCAAGCAGTTGGTTAACAACAGTTTACTTGAGGTTAGTGGGTAAAACATACTGGCTAACACAGAAGAGTATTTGTTATGTCAACAGCATCTGTCCTGTTTGGGAAGTTTCACTACTTCTCTCTCAACTTCTCAGAAGGTCAAAAAACATCTATTTGGTGACATGGACCTTTAGTGTGGGTGACTGTGATTCTTAGTCTGGTCTGCTGAGGCCAGTGCAGGAGCTCTGGCCCCGGGTGGGTGCTTTCCATTTGCGATCACTCATGGATAACGCTCAAAGGTCACTGCTTTTGAGGTTTGATTCAACAGCCCTGTTGCAGGGTGATGAGCTGACAACTTCAACGTAGCAGCAGCATGACTGGTGACAGAATCTACAAAGGAAAATCTTTATGATACATTTGTAAAATTTAGACTTGGAAAACAGTTTTGTAAACTATTTTTTCCTGCTGTTTAATAGCCCACAGAGAAAGATATGGCCCACACATTCTCCTTTCACCCTGACTTATCATCCCCCAAGGAGAATCTTTCTCCTGTTCCTTCCATCTCACTGTTTTAGGCCAAAACAAAATGTATGAGGGGAAAAGAGAAGCCCAAGGACAAGGGCAGAAGAGAGATGAGACGAGAAAATGTGCAGACTTAGACACTGATAAAATTGGAGAATCATAAACACACCAAGATTAATAGTCATTTTGCTACTAACATTTTAACTGAATTTTAGGTAAAGATGGTAACTTATGAACAAGTTTTCATTCCTGATTAAAACAAAAAAATACTCAGCATTATTTAAAAAATTTCCCCTCTAAACCAATAAGTAACATTAAAATTATGGGATAAAGAACTGGGTGTGGCTGAACACAGCTATAATGCCAGCACTGGGGAGGCTGAGGCAGGAGGATCATCACAAGTTTGAAATTAGTTGGGGCTACAATAGTGAGTTCAGGGCTAGCTTGAACTACACAGTAACCTCCTGCCTCAAAATAAAAAAAGTAGGGGCTGGGGATTTAGCTCAGAGGCATAAGCACCTGCCTTGCAGGCAGGTGGTTGTGAGTTCAATCCCTAGTACCAGAAAAAAGAAAAAAATAAAAAAAGTAATAAAGATGTGGGTGATAATTATTCCATTAATGACCCCAAGGAGTCAGATTTTTCAGTGTCCACATTCTTTTAAGTCAAAAGAAATAAATAGGCAAGACACAAGGAAAATCATAATTTTAAACTTTTAAGAAGACAGTAACTTTAGGAAACAAAGTTATCCAAGGTTCTGTATGTCTTACTACATACTTTACTCCATAGGGTTGTTTATACTTCCAGGATTTTTTTCCCCATGCCTGTCACACTTAAATGCCTTATAGACACACCAAGTCCATAAATTACCCTATTATAGGGTAAAGGGCAGCAACATGACCTTAAGATGAAAAAAGATTTAAGCGGTTCAAAGAATGTTTTTAGGCAAACGTTTTAGATTACTAAAGGTGCCCCCAGGAACATGTATGTATCATCAAATCCCAGGCCACAGCACAGCTCTCCAAGAGCTTTCATTTTAAATATATACTCTTACTCTGCATGATAAAGTCTCACTGAGATGTCCTGAAAACCCCTTTCTGTGACAAGAGCCAAGAACCTACCAGGTGGATTGAGGCACTTTTTTTTGGGGGGGGGGGTATCAGGCATATTCCTTAGTCCCAACACTCTTAGGAAGCTGAGGCAGGAAGCTTACAAGTTTGGGCCTATTTTGGGCAGCTGAGCAAGGTTCTCTCATAAAACATTTACAAAGGGCTGGGGATACAGCTAAGTGTGAGCTTGGATTCAACCCCAAGTATTTTATCACCAAAAACAAAACAACACCCCCTCCCCACACACTATCTACTACTAGTAGGTGGGAAATTCTTATCTCTTTGTGAGAGCTCCTATCTGGTGAGTTTCTTCCCACACTGACTTTGGGTTTAACCTACCAGCTTTTTTTTTGTACCAAGGATCAACTCACAACCTAGCGCTCCCCAACCCTAGCCTCCTACCTTTTGAAATCATCTACTTCCACCCAATTCATTGTAGAGCCACTTAGGTGGGAAGCGCCTTTCCACTTCCGGCTGTGCCTAGAACTGGATTTGTATAGCAGCAAACCTGGCTCCTTCATCCTTTATTCATGTACCTCAGTGAAGCCTTTCCTGTCTACTCTCAAACCTCAAATTCTTTGGTTGCACTAGCCTCCTTGAAAGCAATGATCTTCCTCTGAAGTACGTAAATTTATTGATGAGTGGCTCTTTCCTTTTTCCTGAGATGAGCTTACACCTGGCAAAATCATCTGGGGAGTAGGTTTTTGGCTAAGGGTTTTTTTTTTTTTTTTACAGATCTGGAAATACTTGTGTATTTTACACTGTAAACCTAAAACTGTCTGTCCCTGGACATGTAAACTCATCATACAGGTACTTTTATTTTACATTGTTGTAACCCCAGTCTAACACACAGATATTTAAAAATAACCTAAGCAATGAATCAATCCCGATTTGCAAATAACAAAGAGTGACAAATCAGACAACTTGCTTAAGCTCAGAGGCTACGATTAGCTTAACTAGACTCCAATGTAAGTCTGCCTCCCGCACGCACCACAGTATTTTTTTTTCTAGCTTCTTTTTCTTCTCTATTGTACTTGCACCTTATCCCACTGATGGCAACCAGGAGAGAGGCAGTATTTAGGGGTTGCTTCCAGTATTCGTCCAGTGGGAATCAGAATTGAATTCCCTTTGTGACTCGGATCTTTCGTACAGTATGACACATTTAACCGTGGACTCTCAATTATACTCCCTTGTACAAAACAGATTTGCACCAACCAAATCACTTTAAGGTCCTTTAATGTCAAATTTTTTTTTTTTTTTAAATCGGTACCGGGGATCGAACTCACGACCGCCTGCTTGTAAGGCTGGTGCTTATGCCACTGAGCTAAATCCCCAGCCCCTAATGTCAAATTTTAAGGTCCACGAAAGGATGAGTCACAGTTTTGCCTCACCCTTTAGGAGCTGGAACCCCTCCTGGCCCAGTGGCTCCTCTCGGCCGCAGGCGCTCCCTCCTCTGCCTCCCATTCCGTGCTCCTACAGTGGCTGGAAACACCGAGAGGCAGCGCCGTCTCAGCCTACATCAAGTCGGATCCCGAAAGCAGGAGCTAGGAAAATGCTGCCGAATGTCGTCCTCTCCCTTGCTCCAAACGCGCCAGGTCAAAGCCTCAACATTCATTTCGAGGTCACCTGCGTTTCCTCAACTCCACCGTAGTCCACGCGGCAGCCCCAAGCCAGCACTGCACCACGCCGCACCAAGCCTCACTCCACCGTGGTTTCCTCAACCTTCCGCCCGCGCCCCGGAAGTGACGACAGTGCGCGTCACGTGCGCGCCCTCGCGGCTCGGGGGGCGGGGCGTGAGAGGGAGGCGGGGGCGAGGGCGGGGTGGAGACGCGCGGAGCCCATACCCACTGACGCTGCGCGGGGAGAGCGGCTGTCCCGACGCCGGAGGAGCCGCGGGCGAGGTTCGGAGCGCCCGGGCCGGGGCCGAGGGGGCGCGGGTCTCATCCAAGGTGCGGGGCGGTGGCGTGCTGGCCGGGGACTGCTGGGTCATCCGTCGGCGCCGTTCACCTGACGGGGCGCGTCGCGTTGGGGCCGCTGCCGCCCTGGTCCCACGCGCGGGCCGGGCCCGGGCCGTCGCCAGCTCGCTGAGCCGTGTCTGTGCTCAGCGTGGCTTTCCCACGGAAGCCCCCCTCTCCACCCTGTCCCGAGTCCGCGGGGACACCTGTGGGTCGGCAGGCGCGGTGCGCCCGGACCCCCCGCGAACGCCCCCAGATCGGGTCAGGGTGGAGGCGCGGGGCTGTGGCGGGGCGCCCAGACTTCTCCATTCCGCGTTCTCCAGGGGGACTGGAGCGTCCCGGAGCAGGGAAGGTGTTCGTGGCCCGGTGATGGAAGGCGAAGGTGTGGGGCCGGGACTGCGCTTCCGAAGCGTCTTGGAAGAGTGCCCAGGGAATGCCCATCGCGGAAGTTGGGTAGAGAAAAGGAAGAACTCGGACGCCCAGGAGAGCGGGTCATGGACAGCTGGCAGTGTCTCAGAGCCGGTGACCAGTCTTTGCGGTTAGGAAGGGTGTCAGGGGATGCGGCAGGCTCCTTTTGCCTGAGATGAGTTTACACCTGGCGAAATCACCTTAGGGAGTAGGTTTTTGGCTAAGGGATTTTCTTTTTTAACAGATCTGGAAATACTTGTGTTACACTGTAAACTTAAAACTACTTTAAAAAAAGACCTGATGAAGACCGTGCCAAAAAAAGTTTGTTGGAATTTCAAGCAGATTCGATTATATTGCACCATCTATTTAATGTGACTCTAAGCCTGATGCTTGCTAGGCAAGCTTTCTACCCCTGAGCTACACCAGCCTCCTTCAGACTTTTAAGAGTTACTGATTGTTAGGCATGCAGAGGGTTAGGAAAAGTTCAGATGTTTACTGACCTTGGAGACAGTCGTATTTCTGCTTTCTAGAAGATAGCCAGTTCAGGAAAGCAGATAGTAGAGGTTCTTATAAACGTGATAAGCTCCATGTGCTTTGATAGGGCTTGAGCCTTGGGACACTACCGCCTTCCTTTTGGGTGTGGAGTGAGGAAAAGGGATGGAGGAATATTTTCTGGAAGGGTTTTGAAGAATGAGTAACATTCAGAGTAACCCAAGGCGTGAGGGGATTTTGGAAGAAGGTGAGACTGTAAGAAAGAACTCCTGTACAAGACAGAGATGCAGGACCTTAGACTTTGCTGTCTTGGTGACAGAATCAGGAAAAGATTTTAAGCAAGGTTACGTTATGTTTTAAATGAAATTATTTGTTTACTTACTAGTTGTTTGAGACAGGGTCTGGCTACACAGTCCTGGGTAGCCTTGAACTCATTATACAGCCCAGACTGACTTTGAACTTGCCAACCTCTTTCCTAAGCCTCTGGAGTGCTGGAATTAGGGGCTTGTGCCATCAAGCCCAACTGCAGTGAAACTAGGTAGCTTCCATGGTCAGGATGCTGTGTGGCTGATAAGGATAGAACCCAATATTAGCGTTTTATTATGGATTATCTTATATTTTAATATTTTCTGTTCATTAAATTTTTGAATTGAGTACTCATTTGCTAGTTATTTCTTTGTGTAAAGGTGCCTTCTTATATTTTAATATTTTCTGTTCATTAAATTTTTGAATTGAGTACTCATTTGCTAATTATTTCTTTGTGTAAAGGTGTCTGCCTAGCTCATCTGTAAACCTCTATGGACAAAATTTCTGCTTTTCTATCTTTTAGTCTCAATCTAATTCTGGCATTCTCAGGTGTTCAAGTACCTGTCAACTTGAGAATAATTAATGTATTTCTTTGATTCAGGCGTTAATTTTCAATGAAAAAATTTGCTAGCAATATAAAGAACTAAGATCCTATTTCATTTACTTGTGTCAATGTTTAGTTAGAGATGTAGAATTTCAGTCTTAATTGTAAGTTTAATTTTTGCCACTTTGTTGGGTGGTACTGAGGACTGAACCCAGTACCTTTACACTGAGTTATACTCTCAGCCCTTTAGTTTTTCTTTCGAGACAGGATGTGGTTAAGTTGCCCAGATTGGGCTTGAATTTGTGATCTTCCTGCCTCAGCCTCAGAGTGCTGGGGTTACTGGTATGTGCCTTTATTGCTGGGTGTCACATGGTGTTCATTGACTGTGATGCAAGCATCTCTAGCAAAGAAGGAGATTCCTGTGTAACTTAACACCTGACCCATAATAGAAATGCTACAAAGTGGCTTCTTAACCCATTGATAAAGTTATCACAGTAAAAGGTGGGGTTTCACAGTATGTAGAGGCACATTGAAAGTCTTCTCTATGTGCTCATTTTTGTCAGACAGCACTGTAGAGGCATTATGCATGTTATTTCATATGGCTGAAATGCCATGAATTGTTAAACATGGGAAACAGCAGTTGACTTCTCTTTTATCTCAGTAAAGATTATTTAACTACACTTTTATTTGTTTGATGTTTGTATGAAGTTTCTAGAGTGCTTTCTTTAAGACAAGGCTGTATTTGTTTATTTATTTCCTTTTGGTACCAGAGTTCAAACTCAAGGTCTTGCTTTGTGCTGCTGAATTGTGTCAGCACTGAGCTACTTCCCTGTCCCTGAGTCTTGAGTTTGTTTTTGCCCCAAATGACAGGAAGGCGTTTGCTTACCGTTCCTGAAGCAGGAGTCCAGATTTTGTGCTGTTGTACCTTCAGGAATAGTGTTAGCATTGTGCCACACACAGGATAATAGAAGGAGCATACAAAAATTCCGTGAACTGCTTTGGAAGCCAGTCTGTTCAATTCCTGTTCATTATAAATGTGCAGTTACAATTGCATTCATGGTGACTTGGTTTGTATTTTAAAATTAAAAATGACTTTTGGGGATATTTATATAAGGACATATTTATAGTTTTCTGTGTGCTTGCAAACATAAAAAAATGAAAGTTTTGTTTTTGTAGTTCGTAAATAATATGTCATTGTTGGAGAATTTTAAAAAAATATTGGCTAAAAAGTTTTTTTTTTGGAAGCACTTTGGAGCACATTTTAAAAATACCTTCAAAAATGGAACCTATAAAATGTTTATTAATGAACACAAAGTCTTATTAGGCCATAATTTTTTTCAAGTGGAGCATATTACTTGTACCACATCTTGTTCATAATGGCTTACAAAGATAAGCACGAGGGTGACATACAGAGATAAGTGGGTGGTAAGTTCAGGACTGGGGGAAATGAAGGCAGAAGTGAGGATGAGTCTGTACACAAAGTACGGGGACTGAAGTTTAAGTATTTGTAAGAGGGCCATGGATTTGGCTTTGCTTTTTAATAGTTCAGAGAGAAATGTAATCATTTACATGGTTCAGTGATCCTCAGGGAAAAGTTGCCAGTTCCTCTTCTGAGTTCCCAGACTCCTGTCGGGAGACATTCCTTAGCTACAACTTTAAGAACACAGCACCCACTTCAAAAGACCAGGCTATTTTCGTAAACTCTGCCTTGCCTCGTTATACAGGTTGGTGACATAACATGAGAACATAATTCAGTATCAGCAATTTTGTGTGGCAAAATGACCCAATCCAAGCATTTAGATGTTCAGTGTGTTTAAAAGAAAAGATCTGTTTTAGATTAGGTGGCTTGAGCACTCTTCCAACTGCTGTACCATCCATATAAATATTTTGTTTCTCATTGGAGCTTCTGTATTGAATTTATCAGCAGTTGGAGTTGGTGTTTTCTGACAAGTCCTTTACGTGTCTCTCTTTCGTGTTGCTGTCTGGTCACAGAGCCATATGCTTTAGCAGGCATGTTTATCATGGGGTGTGTGAACATGGAAGAGGCGCCCGGGATTCCTCTGAATGAAAGCTGTATCACCTCCACGCACAGATGGGCTGAGGGGTACAGACAGCAGACCTTCCAGAAGCAAGGATTTGGAATCTTGAGAAGCCCAGCAGTACAATTCTTTTTTTTTTTTTTGGTCTTTTTGAGACAGGTCTCACTATACAGTTCAGGTTGGACTTAGGCTCACTTTGTAGCCCAGGCTAGCCTCGAACTCACGATCTTGCCTCAGCCTCCCAAGTGCTAGGAGGATTAGAGGCATGTACCACTACGCCCATCTCTATAATTAATTTTTTTTTTTTTCATTTTTGTCGGTAGCAGGGATTGAACTCATGACCGCCTGCTTGCAAGGCAGGTACTTACGCCGCTGAGCTAAATCCCCAGCCCCTGTAATTCATTTTTAAGATGGGACCAGGTCTATTCATTATAGATGAAATGTCCAGTATGTTACTATATCCATATTTTGCTCAAACTAAAGAGTTGCTCTTTCAAGTAATTAATTATAGGTCACATTTATTCATTGTAGCGTGGGCCATGTGCTAATAGAGACAGTTGTTCATCCTTCCTGGTAAACAGTGGGCAGGGCTGACCTTGCTTAAATATAGTTAGGTAATGTTGTGTTCCTTAATTGCATTTCCACAGAACTTTGACATTGTGTATTAAATGCATTCCTGAAAAAGGAGTTGGGCTAGTGACCAAAGCTTTGTTTTATTTATTTATTTTTATCTTTTGAGATAGGGTTTCATTATGCAGTTCAGGCTGGCCTTGAACTCACTTTATAGCCCAGGCTGGCTTCAAACTCACAGTGGTCCTCCTGCCTCAGCCTTGAAAGTGCTGGGATCACAGGTATGCGCCACCACACCTGGCCCAAAGCTTTACATAGAATATTATTAGGCAAAT